TCTCGGGCCAAGAGTTCAAGCCCCAGGACCAACACAAAGAAAAGAAAGTTTCTGAGCTGTGACTTGAAGCCAGGTTTTCAAATTCCAAACTGTACTCATTTCAATATAACACAGTAAGTAATACATCATACTTAACAATAAACTTATCTGCAGGAATTTTGTTCCTATTTCAAAGATTCTCATTTCAAGAATTGACTCAGATGAAATGTTTAAATAATGGCATCTGAGTTCTTAAAATAGCTTGATTCATAATACATTACAGATTATTACTGAGCTTTTATTTTAATGGTCAAGCAGTTAATAATGAGGCATAGCAAAATGTCTTTGGAGTGGGGGGGGGCGGAATCGGTTACATTGTTCATTATTCTCTCCAGATCAATCAATAGTTAATTAATAATGATGTGCTTCCTGAAGTACAAGGTTATAAATTAATTTAACGCTCATATGCATATTTTCTGTAGAAAAAAAATGAGTGGAAAATGCCTGCCAAACCCATCTCATTGTAAGAAAATGTATGTAATGATTACAAGCTTATAATAAGAGTGGTTTGCTTAGCCAAATGTTTGTTCATTTTTGTTAATCAGTATTCATTTGAGCTTACTTCCATGCAGTTTGAAGAAGCAGTGCAATCAGTTGAGTAGTGTGGCAGATTTAAATCAGTAATAAAAGCCCAGGGGAAATTAACAAGACAAAACATTAACCACAGACTAAACATTAACATACATTAGCATTTTTATTATACCTGTGGAATTGTTAAATGGCCAGGGTGACTACTATTTAAAAAACTTCAAGTAGTATATCACATAATTTCAATGTATGTTTTGTTTGAAAACTTTTAAGATTTAATTAAACAAAAGTGTGCAACAATATAATAGATGATTCTGTAGAATAAAGCTCATTATTGTTGTGTGGGAGGGTGTGTGCAGATGGTGCACAGGCCTACTGATTTCAGAGCTTGAACTCAGGGCCTCATACTCTTTCTTGCCTTTTTCACTTATGGCTGGCCCCATCGCCAGCTCCCCTTATTTTATTTCAACTGAAAACATTTTTAATTCCCACTTTGGACCCAAAGTACCCCCAAAGCAAAAACCACATGTAATTCTTGTCCAAAGAGGACCACAAGATGAGAGTTCACTCTTAAATTGCATCACCCTACAGGAATATTTAAATTCTTTAAGGTTCTGATGACTCCATCTATGATCTAAAACTGAATTTATAGCAACTCTTTAGCAAAATGTTCCCTAAAATATTTTTGAGGCTACAATGATCAGCTAAGGTCTAGCTGGAAAGCTATTCTGTAATTAAACTACAAAAGTCTTAAAGAGGGCCTAGAGCCTCGACAGCTTGAGGTGCAGCTCCTAAAGAGGGGAATTGTGTTGATCGCTGAGTATGTTTCCACTATACATCCATTGTCACCCCCAACCCTGTTAGACTTCTGAGGGCAATGCCCAGTGTCCATGATACCTTTAGTGCCATTGAGAGCTTTGCCATTTCTGCTTCTGCTTTGCCCCTCTCCTTTTCCCTCATCTACCTCCCTCCTTCTATTATGCACCATTTACGTTCAAACTCATAGACTCAGGCACACATCCTCTCCTCTTACATAATATATTTCATGAGATAAAATTCATCTAGAGAAAACATATATCCCTTAGTGCTAATGAGAGCGAGCCAGGGATACATTTTAATCTCATAGCATTGTTTCCCCTCCCACTTTTATGGTTTTCTAACCTTTTAGGCTCATATGACTAAAGACTTGATTCTTCTTGTGTTTTTCTAACCAGCAGAGTAGCCTAGGATCGACTAGGTGGCATCTGTAAAAGTTACAGTTAGATTTCTTTGTTGCCCTTGAGAGTTCTCAGAACCAACAGCCAATAGGGGTCTGAGAATGAATATAGTTAGGTGTTTAACCAATATAGTATTTGCATTTCTTGGCAATAAAATATTTGCATTTCATACCAATCTTGGGGTACAGGTGTGAATTACATCAGACCAAATGCTTTGCATGGCTTCAGGGCCCACTGACCTAAAATATCCCTGGGTCATATATGGGAAGTCAGCAAAAGTGAGGAATTGTCAGCTACCTCTATCCCTTCTGCCCTGAAGCACGCCATACAAGCTAGCTGATGCTCACCTCTCATGTGATGTCGATAAGCCAGTCACATCATGTCCACAAGACAGTCATGTGATAGGTGCCTACTGCATGTCTGAAAAAAAAAATGTTCTAATCTTTGAAGACACAGAGATACAGAGAAGAATCTGAACAAACAGAGCTTACTAGTTTTGCCCCAATATGTTATCATTAGAGCATAACACTTTTGTCTAATCATAGTTCTCCAGCAATACCCACTTCATCAAAAATAACATGAATGTGCACAAATGACCCTTCATTTCTGAAGGTGGCTCCCATTTCCTATAAAATTTTACATTGAGGGCTGGGAAGGTGGCTCAGTGGTAGAGTGCTTGCCTCGCATGCATGAGGCCCTGGGTTCAATTCCTCAGCACCACATAAGCAGAAAAAGCCAGAAGTGGATCAAGTGGTATAGAGTGCTAACCTTGAGCTGAAGAGCCAAGGGACAGCGCCCAGGCCCAGAGTTCAGTTCACACAACCAACAAAAGAAAAATTTACGTTGAACACATTTGTATGCTTTTCACTTGTTAATCTGCCTTTTATTATGGGTATTTCAGCCATGAATGTAGCAGTGAATAAAAAAAAAATACCCCTCCATGGTAACAGATATTCTAGGGAAATAATTGTCACCTTTTCCCCCCGAAGGGACCATAGAATAAAATATAGTACTTCATCTTTTCTTTTTTTATTAATAAGTTCTTTTATTGTGAAAATACCGTACAGAAGGGTTACAATTACATGAGCAAGGAAATGAGTACATTTCTTATCAAGCATTGTTGCCTCCTCCTTTGTTTCCCCTTACCATCCCTACCCTCCCATCTCCCCCCCCCCCCCCCACCAAAGTTGTAAAGTTCGCTTTTTTGACATAATGACTTGTACATCTCATTATTGCAATGGGTACACTTGTATCCCTATTTAAACAATTTGTTTTTCCCTTCCCCTCCACAAATTATACCAACATCAAATACAATGAAAACTGGGGTTATACCATGAGGGAAGGACATACAAAGCAACAAAAAAATCATCTTATAAATATGGCTATAATCCAGAACTCTAGTAACAACAGATGCTGGAGGGGATGTGGACAGAAGGAAACCCTACTGCATTGTTGGTGGGAGTGTAAACTTGTTCAACCACTTTGGAAAGTAGTATGGAGGTTCCGCAAAAGACTCCACATAGAGCTTCCCTATGACCCAGCAATCCCACTTTTGGGCATTTACCCAAATGATTACAAACAAGACCATACTAAAGCTACCAGCACAACTATGTTTATTGCAGCATTATTTACCGTAGCTAAGATCTGGAACCAACCCAGATGCCCCTCAGTAGATGAATGGATCAAGAAAATGTGGTGTATATATACACAATGGAATTCTATGCCTCTAACAGAAAGAATGACATTACCCCATTTGTTAAGAAATGGAAAGACTTGGAAAAAAATACATTAAGTGAAGTAAGCCAGACCCAAAGAAACATGGTCCCATGGTTTCCCTTATTTGCAATAACTAGTATATGTGTGAAACAAGCAGAAATGGTCAGATAAGTTGATGTTAGGCAAAATGAACCCCAAGATAAGGACTCAAATTGTTTTTCTTTCTTGCTGTTGTTTCTAGCACTTCATCTTTTCTTCCTCTGTATAAGTAACTACAAGAGGAATGAAGCTGTGGCACAGGTCAAATCGAAGAATTGGGGCAGGCTCTGGTGCTGCATCCCTGTAATCTCAGCTTCTTGGGAGGTGGAGGTAGGAGGATTATAGTCTGAGGCCTGCTCAAGCAAAAGCATAGGACCTTATCTTAAGAAAAAATGTTTTAAAAAGCAAAAATCCTGTGAGCATGGGTCAAGTAGTATAATACCTGCCTACCAAGCTCAAGGCCCAGAGATTAATTCCTAGTACCCTCACAAAATAAAAGGGGTATTGTCATAGAAGTAGGGCTATACATAGATGAACCTTAACCTGACAGGCATTTTGTGAAGTAAAGAAGCCAGATATAGAAAGGCAAATGCTGTACAATCTCACACATAGAAGCTATAAAAGTTGATCTCTACCATTTGCTGGCAACTCTCAAAGTTGGTAAGGATTGAGGAGAGACGGGGTAGGGAGGGGCCAACAGGTATAGAAATACACTCCACATATGCTTTGTACCTGGGGTGGGGTGGAATCTGCTTCATGATAGATTTGGGGAAGAAAATACAGCCTCATTGATAAAGTGAAAGACATTTCCCATGCGTGAGTGGGCTTCATCATGCCACGTTGGATGGCTCAGTCTTGCTCTTTCCTCATTTGTTCTTAGCCTTCCTACTTTTTAACTTCAGCTGTACCCCTTTCCCCACAAGTTGGGTTGCAATGAAGGGGCAGATACTTTTTTATTTATTTTTGTCAGTCGTGAGGCTTGAACTCAGGGCCTGAGCACTGTCCCTGAGCTCTTTTGCTCAAGGCTAGCACTCTACCACTTGGAGCCACAGCTCCACTTCAGTTTTCTGGTGGTTTATTAGAGATAAAGAGTCTCATGGACTTTCCTGCCTGGGCTGACTTTGAACTGTGATCCTTAGATCTCAGCCTCCTGAGTAGTAGGATTACAGGCATGAGCCACCGGTGCCCATGGCAGGAAAATCTCTTAATAGGCTATGCTCAGAATGGACTTGTGGGTCCCCTGCCCCCACTCCCTCCCTCCCAACCACAGTCTTCTGTCTTCCTTTCCATCAATGGCTATTTGGGTTTAAACCATATCACCTTTCTTGACTCTCAATAATAGCTTTATTCTTCTCTTCCGAAGGAAATTGGAGGAGCAAAGTGAAGTGCAATTCCTAATTTGTTTCTGTGGTCCTATCTGTGAATGTATCAGACCATTAATTTATATTTCTTTTTTTTCAGATTGGCAAGTTATGTGCCCATTCTCAACAACGCCAGTATAGATCTGCTTATTACCCTGAAGATCTGTTTATTGACAAGAAAGTATTAAAAGTTGCTCATGTAGAACATGAAGAAACCTTATCTAGCCGAAGACGGTAAGAGATCTGTTGGGGTTTCCCCCACCTCTATTTCAGAGTACAATTAGCAATTGTGTTTTAAGGTCAAAAACCATTGGAGGGAGGTTTCTTTTTCTTTTTTTTCTTTTTTACTTTTTTTTTTTTTTTTGGTTGGTCGTAGAGCCTGAATTCTGTGCACTCACCATTCCTTAAAGGGATTTATATACAGAAATGGGACCAATATTTGATTTTTTGTCAGTAATATGACTTGAACTCAGGGCCTGGGTGCTGTCCTTAAGCTTTTTTGTTCAAGGCTAGTGTTCTGCCACTTTGAGACACAGCTCCACTTCTGGTTTTAGGTGGTTAATTGGAGATGAGTCAATTGGAGATGAGTCTCACAGAATTTCCTGCTTGGGGTTGGCTTCAAACTGTGATCCTCAGCTCTCAGCCTCTTGAGCAGCTAGAATTACAGGCATGAGCCACTGGTAACCAGCTTAGATACTTGATTTTTTTTTTTTTTTGTCGGTTGTGGGACTTCAACACTGGGCCTGGGCGCTTTCCCTCAGCTCTTGAGCTCTACCACTTGAGCCACAGCGCCCCTTCCGGCTTTTTCTGCGTATGTGGTGCTGAGGAATCAAACACAGGGCCTCATGCATGCAAGGCAAACACTACCACTGAGCCCCCTTCCCAGCCCAAAGAAGGGAGATTTCTTAAACAAATGTTATTTAGTTCTTCTACCATTTGTCAATGTTAGAGAAAAAAGATAGTGCATTATAGCCAAGCCATATTCGAATGCAAACTTCCCATATGTAAATAACTAGTACAGCAATATAGAGTGGCACACAGACTTTCCTTTTCAAGGTCTCTTATTTATTGAACAGAATATTTTCTGCTGACAATCAGATCTTATAGTTTAATGGCTTGGTTTGTGGCTTTTCTCATTACTAACAGTGAGTCAGGGTTAAAATTCACACACACACACACACACACACACACACACACACACACACACTTTAAAGTGATCAAATAAAGTATCTGATTCATATTGCTTGAAATAACAATGAAGACACAAACTAGACATTAGGTATTCTCCTTCAGGGTTCCATCTCCTAAACCTTCTAGGCTAAAACAGAGCTGTGATGAATGGAGCAGGAGGAGATGAACTTATTCCAAGCATCAGAGTCACGTGACCAAGAGGAAGCTAGCGGATGACATTGATTTGTTGAGGGCCAGATAGGCTGAGATCTTCCTTGGAGGCCCTCATGCCATGTCTGTGTAACAAAACGATCCAATTGAGCTTGGAAGAAGCAGCATTGTGTGCTAATGGCACACTGTCTGCTTAATGGAAGAGACTATGCACCTTCAACAGGTGGTCTACAGATGTCAATGCTGATGCATATAAAGGTCTTCTGCTGCTTAAGATATGACACTTGCCGGGTGCCAGTGGCTGATGCCTGTAATCCCAGCTACTCAGGAGGCTGTGATCTGAGGATCATGGTTCAAAGCCAGCCAGGCCAGGAAAGACTGTGAGACTCTTATCTCCAATTAACCATCAGAAAACCGGAAGTGGCTCTGTGGCTTAAGTGGTAGAGCGCTAGCTTTGAGCATGAAAAGGTTCAGAGATAGTGCTGAGTTCAAGCCCACAACAAAAAAAAAGGGGAGGACATTACTTTGAAGTTTTTTTTATAAAAATAATAATGACAATGTTAGCATTTTAATTTCTAAAACAGTAAATACTGATAGCTATCTGCCATAGAAATGAAAACTTTAGGAGATCCTTAGTCATTTTTATGAGGATAAATAATGGCTCACATCCATCATTCTAGCTACTCAGAAGTATGAGATCTGGAGGATCTTGATTTAAAACTAGCCTGGGCAGAAAAATCCATGATACTTTTATTTCCAAAATAACTAGCAAAAAGTAGGGCTGGGGGCATGGTTCAAGTAGCAGAGGGCCAACTGAGCAAGTTATCCAAGCAAGCCCTAGGCTTCTGAGTTCAAACCCTAGTACCACCAAAAGGAAAATATAGTGTGTAAAGGAGTTGCAATAATTACCTATTGCTAGAAAACAAACAAGTCCAAAAATAGTTATTTAAAACCACCAACATATCAACAGATTTTGTTTGTCAGAAATATGGGACTGGCTTAGCCAGGAGGTACTCAAAAGTCTAAAGACATTTCAATCTAAATGTTGCCTGTGGCTATATTGTTTTTTTGTTTTGTTTTGTGGTGCAGGGGATTAAACTCAGGGCCTCATATGTACTATCACAGAACTACATCCCCAGGGCTGGAGTTTTGTCTGAGGTTGGACAATCCACTCCCAAAGTGATTTATTTATAGATTTAGCAAGTCAGGGCTGTTTTTTGGAAAGGGGGTGGAGTTGCTCAACATGAACCCCATGAGTCTCCTCATAACAGGGAAGCTGGTTTCCCCAAAATAAGTGGTCCATGGAAGACTGCAAAGAAGAAGGTATAACATCTCACTTTTTGGAAGTGAAGCACCATCAACACTGGCATATTTGATTTGTTTGGAGCAAGGACTAATTTTAATATACTCAAAGGGAGGAAATTAAATGGTACCTTTTGAATGGAGGAGTTATCAAGGAATTATGGGCATATTTTTAAACCACTATAGGCCTCCTGACACTAAAATATCCGAGAAGCATTTTTGAATAGCTTTGCAGCACTTTGGGACATTTTCATCTCTTCCTGGCAAGGTAAAATCAAGCCATACACCAAGGCCTTCTTTACCTCCTGCCTTTCCTTTGTCTATGAGTCTGAATCATGTGAGTCATCAAGTTCAATTAATGGATGTAAAACTAGTAGAAAGCTTCTGTTCTTGACCAAAGTGTGTGTTTGTATATGTCTGGGTGTCTTTCTTCAGTTCAACAGTAATTCATTAGCTACTCATTAGTTATAGTATGTGTGCTAGGCACGAAAATGCTAAGAACACAGTCTTTGCTGTCCAGCTTAGTCTAATGGAGAAATAGACTTCAGTACAAATAATACCAAACTATTTGTATGAATACCAAGACATACAAAAATATGGAGTACAGAGATAGCCTACACAGAAAACAAGGGAATTACAGCAGAAGCTTCATGAAGGAAGTGGTTTATGAATTTATAATAGAATCCCATGTAGAGCTTTTTTTTTAAAAGTAAAAAATAAAAAAGCATAAAAGTGTGGCACCTGTGGCTCATACCTGTAATTCTAGCTACTCAGGAGGCTGAGATCTATGGATCACAGTTCAAAGCCATCCCACATAGGGAAGTTCATGAGACTCTTTTCTCCAATTAACCACCAAAAAACCGGAAGTGGTGCTGTGACTTGGGGGTTAGAATGCCAGCCTTGAACAAAAAAGCCAAGTGACAGCTCCAAGGCCAAGTTCAAGCCCCAGTAGCAGCATACAAAAAAGAAAGAGAGAGAGAGAGAGACAGACAGACAGACAGACAGAAAGGGATGGAGGGAAGGAGAAAGAGGAAGGAAGGAAGGAAGGAAGGAAGGAAGGAAGGAAGGAAGAAGGGAGGGAGAGAAAGAAAAGAGAGGATAATAAGAAAAGTAGAAAAAACATATAGCCTTGGCTCCTTTGGTTGCTGGCACCGCGTGCCTGCTCTATGATGTTTTTCATTTGTTGTTGCAAACTGAAGCATCGAAGTCTGAGATGGAGTTTTTCTTTCTGAATACTCTGGTAGTAGAAGCAAACCAAACAAAAGGAGAATATGAGACTTTATTTACCTTTCTCAAATCTGCACTGTAAACCCTCTTTATTTATTTAAATTTATTTTTTGGGTCTGGTCTTGGGGCCTGAACTCTGGGCCTAGACGCTGTCCCTCAGCTCTTCAGCTCAAGGCTAGCGCTCTACCACTTGAGCCACAGCGCCACTTCCGGCTTTTTTTCTTTTTGCTTATGTGGTGCTGAGGAATCGAACCCAGGGCCTCATGCATGCAAGGCAAGCGCTCTACCACTGAGCCACCTTCCCATCCCTGTAAACCCTTTTAAGGAGAGAAAAGAAATGGGAATTAAGATGCTCTTTTGCTAAATGCATCGCACCCCCACAAGCTGAAGTTCGTGGGAGGTTTTGTTCTAGTAGTGTTAGTGCACCTACAAATTTCCCCACACTCCTGCGCATGTTCCATCTTCAGTGGTTAAAAATATGATCATTCAATAGGACCCCTATTCTAGTATTCAGTCTGTGAGCAGACTGTCTGAATTTGATAATGAGTTGAAAAAACCTTTTGCCTTATTAAAATAACAACACACAAAAGAAAGTCAGATTTCTTTGGTAGCATTCAGAAGTCATCTGTTTGTTTTGTCTGCCCCCAGCTGGGTAAGTTTGTATCACACAACTCATCTTAGAAATAGCATAGTTCAATTGAAAAGGAATTTTATACTAAACTAGTGGTCTATATATGGCCTCAGGGTTCCTTAAAGGATAAATATTGAAAAGACCCCTCAGCAGATGTAGAACAATGAGAGGGATGCACAGGCAGTACAATCAAAATAGAAGCAATCACATCTCCAATGTTTCTAGCACATTCTACTTGCTAGCCTGTCTCCTTTGTTCTCCCGAATGTCTCCTTCACCACTTCCTCCATATTAGTATTGCCTTGGTCATTTTTATGTCCCAAGTACTGTTTTGTAGGACGCATGAGCAATAGCTTTCCCTTTTCCAAACCCCAAATCAATAGTCCGCCGTGAGCTTACCTTCAACTGTTAACCTGTAATAAAGTCATAGTCCTCCACCCTTGTGAAATTAAAGCTGTGTGTTCCTGCCTATCTCTTCCTCTCCTTCCTCTGAAAAAAAAATTCAGGATTTGCAGTCAAGAATGAAAGGTTACTTTTACTTGCAATGGTTTCCAATTAGCACTACTTTCATGACTGCCCAAGCAAATCACTGCAAGAAAGCAAAGGTAACCTCCTCTCCTACCTCGAAAAAAGGAGACACCCGTCTCCAGCAGCAATATTGCAAAATGGTTCCTGTGTACAAAGGAGCCCTACCTAGCTTTTATTTTCACATTTAACACACTGAATGGAAGTATCTATGAAGAGATTTTCCTGAGCAGAATGCCTTAAACAAATATTGAGTTTGTCCTAAGTGATCTCCATAGGCTTCACTGTTTCTGTCAATAATATGATTGGTATTTGTATATTGGCATAAAGTGGAATTGGGTTAAACAAACTTTCTAGGGTTGGGAAGGTGACTCAGTGGTAGAGTGCTTGCCTCACATGCATGAGACTCTGGGTTCAATTCCTCAGCACCACATAAGCAGAAAAAGCTGGAAGTGGCACTGTAGCTCAAGTGGTAGAGCGCTCGCCTTGAGCTAAAGATGTGAGGGACAGCGCCCAGGCCCAGAGTTCAGGCCCCACAACTGGCAAAAAAAAAGTTCCAGTCAGTCAAACTATTTTGCCCAGCTGGGCACCAGTGGCTCATGCTTGTAATCCTAGCTACTCAGGAGGCTGAGATCTGAATATTGTGGTTCAAAGCCAGACCAGGCAGGCAAGTCCATGAGACTCTTACCTCCAGTGAATCACCAGAAAACCAGAAGTGGTGCTGTGGGGTCAAAGTGGTAGAGTGCTAGCCTTGAACATGAAAGCTCAGGGACAGCACCCAAGCCCTGAGTTCAGCACATATACACACACATATAGAATCACACGCGCACGCGCACACACACACACACACACACACATATACACACACACACACACACACACACACCCTAAATTTCAAGGAAATAAATGTAAACCTTTTGAGAAAAAGTCTACAAGAGATATACCTAGTCATTAAACAGTGTTTGGATGTGTTATAGTGTTTGAATGTTTTTGTGTTCTGACTCTGGTAGAAAGGTGGGGATGGTCTTAACAGAGACTTGTGTCTCACTGACTTTCCTGCCTGGTTTCACTTGGAACCATGATCCTCAGATCTTTGTCTTCTGTGTAGCTAGGATTGCAGGTATGACCCATTGGTGCCTGACTATAGTTTTGATTTGCATTTATCTGATGACTAAATCTGTCTTTTAAAACTTGACTTCATCTTGACCTTTTACATCTAATGCTTAAATTAACAAAACACAAGTCTCTGTTAATACCATCCCCACCTTTCTACCAGAGTCCGAATAAAAAAATAAACCATCCAAACACCGTAACACATTGGTAAGGAACTTAGCTCAGCCTAGTAGCTAACTAATTTTTTTATTTTGCTTGTTTTAAGCTACCTAGTGTTTTAAAAAACTTATACCAAGAAAAATCTGTTGTGGGATAATATGGTTATATTTATTAATATCTATCTCATCTTTCCATCTCTCTCCATCCTTCTTCCCCCTTTTTAAAATAATTTCATCAGATTTTATTGATTAATTTTTTTTTTTTGGGTCCAGTAGTGGGGCCTGAACTCTGGGCCTGGGCACTGTCGCTCAGCTCTTCAGCTCAAGGGAAGCGCTCTACCACTGAGCCACCTTCCCAGCCCCTTATTGTTTAATTTTTATACTTGAATATAATGTATTTTTATAATGTATTTTTAATGCTGGTTCCGGAGCTTGAACTCAGGGACTGGGTGCTGTCCCTGAGCTTTTTTTGTTCAAGGCTAGCACTCTATCACCTGAGCCACAGGGCCATTTCTGCTTTTCTGGTGGTTAATTAGAGATAAGAGTCTCACAACCTTTCCTGCCCAGGTTGTCTATGAACCACAATCCTCAGATCTCAGTCCCTTGAGTAGCTAGGATTATAGGCATGAACCACCAGCACCTGGCCTGCAATGTATTTTGACAATATTCATTCACATTCACTCACTCTCTTTTCCTCCCATTTCCACCAGCACCTATTCTCCATTATAGCCTACTTTACTTTCCTGTCATTTATTTTTTTCAGTTTTATACAAAGGAAATTCCCCATGGTAATTAACACCTGCATATATTATAGTTGAGCCAGATTGACCTCATCTGTTGTTCTCTTCCTGGGTCCCCCATACCGTCTATTGTTCAATAGCTTCCAGTGAGTTTCCTAATGCCATCTTCATACATAAACATGATGTATTTCAATATTATTTATCATCCCTCATTATCTTTCCCTCTGCAAGTTTAATTATCCCACACACATCAGTTTATGTGGAATTTATGTAGTTCACGTATATAATACGTTTTTATTCTATAGGTTCATGGTAATGGGAGCCTTGATCATAGCTGCCATTTTGGAGGGAGAAGTCTGTGGTTATTTGTGTGGGTAATGTGCCAAACACCTTATATGCATTGTCTTTTCTTTTCTTCTTTTTTTGCACTCTACCACTTGAGCCACAGTGCCACTTCCAGCTTTTTTCGTTTATTGGAGATAAGAGTCTCATGGACTTTTCTTCCCAGGTTGGCTTCGAACCGTGATCCTCAGATCTCAGATCACGCCTTCTGAGTAGCTAGGATTACAGGTGTGAGCCATGGGTGCCCAGCATATGCATTGTCTCATTGAATCATCCCAGTTACCGTAGGTGCTATTAGTATCTTCCTTTTACAAATAAGGAAACTGAATCCCAGAGAAGTTTAGGATTCATCTAAGGGCTCACCACTGGGTAAGTAAGCAAATAGCTTGAATTATCAATTCAGCTGGATTAGAGTTCAAAATCAGTGCTCTGAGCTAATACAGGTTTGAAAGCGCTGTTCTGAGTGCCGGGACATAATATAACGATCACCAGATGAAACTATGTTCCAAATTTTAAAATAACTACTTCGATAGTAAGCTTTAAAAATATGGTCTCATATATCCATCCTATCACATACACATAAGGAACAATACTGTGTAGGATGGCCTCATATTTCTCCATGTCACCATACTCAAGTCACACAATTTCTGAGTTCTAGAATGTCATGACCCAGACTGTGTTAAATTATCCATGTTCTTCCTGGTTTCCTTAGATTTTTATCTTAGTCCTTCCTTTTCAATTGAAGTTGGAGGTGTTGGGTTAATCGTAGTTCCTTGGCCCTATGGAGAACTACAATTTACGTTGAGTCTCTTCTGGATCTTCTTCAACTTGTCAATTATCTTTATGATCTGCTAAGAAAACTATAAGGATTGGGAAGTAGGGAGAAATTATTTTCAACTTCTCGGGAAATCAAATCAGAAAGCAGTGCTATAGGTTCCATTTTTCTTGCTATGTGTTATGCTGTAAGCGTGGGTGAGGAGGTAGGAGGAGGCCTAGGGGAAACTCTTTCATTAAAAAGAAAGCCATCATTTCCTAAAAACAAATGGCCACCTTTCATTTCCTCATGGAGTCAGAGGGTGGAGGCAGGGTGGGGTGTGGAGGATTAGTCAGCCCTGAGCAGCCTTTAGTCTTTCAGTTTCCATTCTTGGAAACTGTATTATTACCTTGTAAAACAGATCATCTCTCCTATTAGCTGTTAATTGAACCCATCTTTTTCCTGTGTGAGAAACTGTAATGTTGACTTTTATTTTCAGAGTTCTATATTGAGGCTCTTCTCTTTGGAGATTGATGGTGCTCAGATACCAGGACTAGGCCATGAAGGGAGGATGGTTTCAATGGGAAGTAACTGTTGGGATAGCAAACTTTATCTATGTGCCAACAACCTTTCCTGAGTTCCATCATCTGGGCTTTACTGTGACCTAAGCCTTGTGAGCATGCGCTAAGAGCTAGTTCTCTCCCTTCTCTTCCCTTCCCCTCACTTCTTTCTTCACTCTGTCTTGTTGAAATGAATCATTTTATAATAATATACAAAATTGCATTAAGGACTTACCCCCACCCCCGCAGTGTGCAAATGACACGGAAGCCTCTAGCTCGTGCAGAGACCCATCCATCAGGCCAGTCCACTCTTAACCTGGTGACAGCATTTGAATAATTTCTCGTGACCATAAAATTCCCTAACCAGAGTCTCCAAAACCTTTATGTGGACTTAAGGTACACATAGATGTGAAAAACACTATAACTTTCTATCAAAGGAATTGCTTTAAAAATTGCTTTAGAAAGTGAAGTATAGGGCTGGAAATGTGGCTTAGTGGTAGAGTGTTTGCCTAGAAGGCATGAAGCCCCAGGTTCAATTCCTCATTACCACATAAACAGAAAAATCCGGAAGTGGTGCTGTGGCTCAATTTTGTTTTTGTTTGTTTAGCCCCAGACATCTATTACATCAATATTGAACAATTTCTTTAAAAACATGTTCACGTCTTTCTGGTCCCTCATATTTAATTTGTATGTATAACTACAGCTGAAACAAGGTAATAGGCAAGAAATGTTGATAGTATTTATGGGTGTATTTCATACACATTTACATATACAATATGTTCTCTCACACACATACACACACATGCACATGCAAACACAGACACATACTTAGAAACAACATAAAAATCAAAGCAAATAAATGACAAGATATACTAGAGCCTTCTCCTTTTCCCTTGCCTTCACAAACTACACAATAGACAAACAATGACATTGTCCTACTTTAGCAGGTCTGAGCTTCTCTGACTGTATTATTGGGATCATTTCATCGAGCTCATACTGTTCTGAGCACCCTACGATTCTTATCTGTAACCATTAGCCACAGCCTATATGGGAAGAGGCCATTTCTAGGGTAATAGCATTGTAAATTACAATCAATGGACTCAATTACATGCAGAAACCAAAATACACGTTGTGCTCCAGTGTGCCTTGTAATCAGCACATTTGAGAAGGTAAGTAATAGCATTCTGATCAAAAAATGGAAGCTGCTGAACATGTGAGAAGATGAGTGTCAGAATTAAATCATATAGAGCACCTTATATGGCAGACAACTTTTTCCCCCCTCTAATATCATTTTATTGATTTTTAAAGGAAAAAAAATTAAATGGTGGCCTTGTAGCCAAGCATGTCTTTAAAAATCGTGTATTGCTCTAATCAGCCTGGCACAGCCTTTTTGTCATACAGATAAGGAAATGAAACTTTCCTCATACTGAGCTTACTCTTTACCTCTTATGCACAGATGTTGTGTTTTTCTTCTAGGGAACTCATTCAGAAGCTGAAATCGTTCATCAACTTCTACAGTGCTTTGCCTGGCTACGTCTGCAGCCATAGCCCTGTGGCCGAGAACGACACTCTGTGCTGGAATGGACAAGAACTCGTGGAGAGGTAATTGTTTGTGAATGGTAACTCATAGCAATGTTCGAGAAACCATCCTGTGTTCATTGCTCAAAAAGTTCATTATATGACCCTTCCTCCATGAATATCACAGGAAAAAATTCTATACAACATATAAAAAGGAGCTATGATGATGGGCCAGTTACCATGTATAACTTCTTGCTCTCATAAAATTTACAAACTTTAGCCAGGCACTGGTGGCTCACACTTGTAATCCTAACTACTCAGGAGCCTGAGATCTGAGGATCAAGGTTCAAAGCTGACAAGGGCAGGAAAATCCATAAGACTCTCATCTCTAATTAACAACCAAAAAACTGGGAATGGTGCTGTGGCTCAAAGTGGTAAACCACTAGCCTTGAGCAAATGAGCTCAGGAACAGAGTTCAAACCCCATGACCTACACTTCCCCGCCCTCCCCAAAACATTACAAACTTTGCTGGGTGCTGGTGGCTCATGCCTGTAATCCTAGCTACTAAGTAGGCTGAGATCTGAGGATCATGGTTCAAAGCCAGACAAGGCAGGAAAGTCCGTGAGACTCTTAGCTCCAATAAATAAACAGAAAACCGGAAGTAGTGCTGTGGCTCAAGTGGTAGAGCACTTGCCTTGAGCTGAAGAGCTGAGGGACAGTGCCCAGGCCCAGAGTTCAAGCCCCACGACCAGCCAAAAGAAAAAAAGGGGGGGGGGCTTAAAAAATTACAACCTTTAAAGCAGATAGGGAACTATGTATCTGAGGACATTTTTTAAAGCATAAAACAGCTCTTTTTATGTCTTCAGCATTTTTCATCTCGTTATGTAGGCTCTTATTTCATTTGAAGAAATCATATTCATTACTCATATTTTCCCTTTACTATTAGGTATATATTACACATCATGCTAAGTACTTTGTTATATTAACTCTGTCTTTACAAAAATCCCATGAAACGCTGTGATTTTCTCCATTGTACAAAGGTGGTGGGAAAAAAAGAACTACCATTTTAGTGAATTTTTTGTGTGCAAGGGGCAACTGGGGCTTGAATTCGGGGCCCGGGCACTGTCCCTTAGCTTTTTTGAGTAAGGCTGGTACTCTACCACATGTTCGCAGCTCATCAGTGTTTTGCTGGTTAATTGGAGATAATAATGGATGATTTATCTGTCTGGGCATTGCAATTCTCAGCCTCCTGAGTAGGTAGTGTTACAGGCATGAATCATGAGCACCTGGCTGAGTATTTGTTAATATCATGTATGCTAACTGTCTGCAACTTTGAAGAATTTGCTCATTTTTGTGAGAAGAAAATAATTTGCATTCATTTATTCAACAAATATTTAGTGAATACCTTCTAAGTGCCAGGTATCTTGAGGTGAACAGAGCAGGCAAACAAGATTTCCCATTCTCACAGTTTTTATTCTAGTAGAATAATGATTTTTCCTAACGTCCATTGCTTTGCATGTATGAGGAATAGCTTGCAATTAAGACATTAATCAAGACAGTAGACTGTTTAAGAAACCACCTAGAGTTGCTAAACATGCTTTGTACAATGTTTGTACACGTTGTAGCATGTTGAAGAGAATACAGAAGACACTTTAAATTGAGTTCTGAGTCTTTCACTAATTGGTTGTTTAACCTCAGGAAAGTTACTTAATCTCCCTAGGCTTTGGAATTTCCCCATTTAAAAAAAATGAGGCCAAGTGCTTGTGGCTCACGCCTATACTTCTAGCTACTCAAGAGGCTGTGATCTGACGATGGTGATTCAAAGCCAGCTCGGTCAGGAAAATCTGGAATATTCTTTTTTTTGGGGGGGGTCCGGTCGTGGGGCCTGAACTCTGGGCCTGGCGCTGTCCCTCAGCTCTTCAGCTCAAGGCTAGCACTCTACCACTTGAGCCACAGTGCCACTTCTGGCTTTTTTTTTCTTTTTGCTTATGTGGTGCTGAGGAATGGAACCCTGGGCTTCATACATGCAAGGCAAGCACTCTAACACTGAGCCACCTTCCCAGCCCAACTCTGGAATATTCTTATCTCCAGTGAAGCACCAGAAAACTGGAAGTGGAGCTGTGGTTCAAAATGGTAGAGCACTAGCCTGGACCAAAAGAACTCAGGGACAGTACCCAAGCGTCGAGTTCAAGTCCCAGGATTGACAAAAAAAAAAAAAAAAGATTTGATTAGATTTGAGCCTATCTGACACCAATAGTCTATATGATTTTCCTTATCTGTTCATTCATTCATCTTCAACATGTATTAGGTGTATGTTGGGTACAAAGATCTGTGCTTAGAGATGGATGCTATGAAGAACTTACATTCTATTGGGCCTCAGTTCTATAACATGAGGCTAAGTTAAACTAATTCAAAATATGGCATAATGGACAGAAAAATGTTCTAGAGTCAGATGAACTGAGTTTGCATCTCAGTTCTGTGGCTTACTATGTGTGGCCTTGAGTGAATCAATTAACCTACAAAGTCTCCAGGTCCTCTTCTATAAGTAAAGACAGGACATGTAACAGGGTTACTGTGACTATTTAGTAAAGTCATAAAATGCACTCAGAACACTAGCACATACTGAAAGCTGAATTCATGTTCCATCTCTTTTTTTCTCCTTTTCTCCTCTAATTTTCCTCTTCCCAACACAAGATGGAGCCCACACCTGAAAATAGTTTGTTTCCTATCTTAGTTTTATACTGACACATGAGAATAAGATCGCATGCCTCCCTGAAGGTTGCATTGAACTTGACTGAAGAGAGTCTTACCTGTAGCAAATGTGAATCAAGCCCCATGCAGCCCCCTCCATTCAAGATACTAGATGTCATAAAAGCTTCTAAGTACTAAGTACTTGAGTACTATGACAATATATATATATATATATATTTTGGTCGGTCATGGGGCTTGAACTCTGGGCCTGAGCGCTGTCCCTCAGCTCTTCAGCTCAAAGCTAGCGCTCTACCACTTGAGCTACAGTTCCACTTCTGGTTTTCTGGTGGTTTATTGGAGATAAGAGTTTCACGGACTTTCCTGCCTGGGCTGGCTTTAAACCTCAGTCCTCAGATCTGAGTAGCTAGGATTGCAGGCGTGAGCCACCGGCACCCGGCTGACAATATTTTTTTTAATTGTCAGAGAATAGCAGTCAGGATTTGATTTTATGAAATTTAGATGCTTGACTGGATGTTGGTGGTTCATATCTATAATCTTAGATATTCGGGAAGTTGAGATCTGGAGGATCAAGATTTGAAGCCAGCCTGGCTAGAAAAATCTGAGAAACTCCATCTTCAATTAGCTGGCAAAAGTTGAGCTAGTGGCTCTGTAGCTCAAATGGTAGAACACTAGCCTTGAGCTGAAGAGCTGAGGGACCGCACCCAGGCCAAGTTCAGGCCACACAACCAACAAAAGAAAAAAATCTAGGAAGGAAAGGATGATGAAAAGGTAAGGAAGAGAAGAAAAGGAGGAAGGAAGGAAGAAAAGGAGGGAGGAGGGGAGGCCATATCTGTACACAGAATACTAGGCATATAATCTAAGCAACAGCAAGTCCTTGCTTAGTTACCTTGGATTATAATTAACTTATATTACTGACCTAAAGCAATGATGAGTCTAGGGAATAGTGATAAACTAGATTTTTAAAATTTCTTTAGGAATATACCGTTAATAATATGATGTTCTCTAGCCTGAAGACATGTGTGCCCTCTGTGTGTATCATTTATTGAAGATTGCCTTTATACTCATGTTTCATCTAGCGTGAAAATATCTTTCCAGAGCTTTTCATTGAATTTCTTAATTAATTCAGTCTTAAGTAGCAATTGACACTTTAGACTGTCAAATGGGTTATCAGTTTGTTATCTTTATAGATTGGGCTGTGTTCTTTGAAATTGTTCCCCCCCCCAAAAAAAAAAATTGTAAACTCAAGAATCCTGTCAAGGAATCAAACTGGTCATTGAAATACTTGATCAAATGAAACTATAGATTATTTTTTTAAGTATTGAGCAATAGCGACACCAACTGGATTTATCAGAGTTATTTATATCCTCCTATTATATATGTACTAATTACTCAGCTTTTTTGTGTGTGCCTGTCCTGGAGCTTGAACTCAGAGCCTGAACTCTGTCCCTGAGCTTCTGTACTCACTGCTAGCACATTACCCCTTGAACCACAGCTCCGCTTCCAGCTTTTTAGTGGTTAATTGGAGAAAAGAGTCTCTTGGGAATTTTCTGCTTGAGCTGCCTTTAAACCACATCCTCAGACCTCAGCCTCCTGAGTAGCTAGGATTACAGGCGTGAGCCACCTCACCCAGCTTCACTCAGGTTTTACAGAGTTAAAGAACACATTGCCTCTGGGAATAAGTTCATATTTCACGTCCTTTCAATTTTGCATCTCTTGTTAATGCAATCAGTTGCTAGATAAAGGAAGAAGATGCTTCTATAGATCTGGATTCAGGGGTATACACCCCTCTTTTGACTTCATCACCATACTCTTCCTTATACCCCATCTTAGCTGGAGATAACATTGGCAGACTGGGTCTCAAAAAATTTGGGAAGCTACGCAAGAGGAAATGTACTCATTACCTTACTCATTTAACTGTAACCCCTCTGAACAGTATCTTTACAATAAAAATATAATAAAAAATTGGAGGGAGAGAGAGAAAGAGAACATTTTAGTAAATATATTTTGAAACACTCTTTCAGATCTGTTAAGCCACTGTCTAGATAATGAACTGAAAATGTTATTCATTTTCTAGATTGCTTGTATGAGGCAAACTCAATTTTATTGTTTAATCAAATTTGCCTTTCAATTTCTATAACAGGGCTGGAGGTGTGGCTTATTGGTATGTGTTTGCCTAGCATGTACACTGCCCTGGATTCCATCACCAGCAATACATAAGTAAATTAATTAAAGAGAAACTATTTCAGCTGATGCATATTTACAAACGTCTAATTTGAGAGGAAAAGATGCTATTTTGCCTTTACATTTAACATTTGGTAATTCATTCAGCACAAATGGAGCATTTAGAATATACTAGGCCCTGTGGTCTATCC